GGGGGGGGGAAGACGAAGAATGCCACGGCGCGGCACAGTCGTAATGGGTTCTGCAGCGAGCGGAGAGAAGCTGCAAGGTAATAACCAGCGCGTATATAACGACACGATGAGTCGTGGGTTGCCCGGGCCCGGATGGGTTGCCTCGGTACACCGGCGACTTTCACGAGGGTCGCGAAGCTTCTGCTGTATATCGTTTCACACACACACACACACACACACACACACATGGAAAAAGGTGTGTTTGTAGAGGATTGTTCCACGCGAAATCGGACACTTCTGGAATAACATTTCGGATTCTGTTGAAACTTGGATACGTCGTAGACTTTAGTGATGCGCAAACGTATCTCTAAGGATTTTTGAAAATTATCAAAATTTTCAAAATTTTACAGCTGGGTCCGCCGAGATTATTTGAAAACTTACTTCCATGGGGCCAAAAGCTGCGGCGAGTTTCTACGTAAATTCAGCTTCCATCTCGGGAAGGATTACCCGGAAACTAGTCCCAAAAATGTCCCTAGAACCCATCTCGTTCCCGTGTCTATGCAAACCTGCCTTTATCACGAGAAAAAGAAGATTATATATTTATAAAAGTAAAAATCATCAAGAGCATACGTAAATAGAAATTCCATTAAAATTTGTACACTTAATTGTAATTTGGAAAGTACACGAACCAAAACGTGAGTCACTGTATGCATCCGTATAGCTCTGTGAAATATAACGAAGGATTAAAATGTCACCAGACGCAACGAGTTTTCGATTTTATTCTGAACCCATTAAGATACTTATATGTATACAAAAAGAAACAAACCATTTTTCATGTCTCAATGAATCACTTTAGAAATTCTCATTCTGCATAAAAAATCATCCGGCAGTCTAGTTGTTATTATCAATTCCCTATAGTCTGCCCATTGAAGTTCACGTTCGCATTGACTAGTAAGTGTATACATTTACTGAACTTCACGCTTTTACTGTGACATTCACATCAAGCGTCGAAACAACTCACCCTGTATAAAATCGCCAGACGTTTATCACCGGTTATCAGACGCGGTCGTTCGGGGAAGATTGCAAGTTCCTCGATCTGGGCAGGGCCTGTCGTCCCCTCTCTTTCTTTCTCTTCTATCCACAGATGTTCCCACAAACGGCCACGTTCTCGCGGTTACTTTGTCGCGACGCAGGCGTGTCCAGCGTTCCTAAGCGGAAACGCTGTCGTCGTCTTCGTCGTCAGCGGGCGGTCCTTTAAAGATTCAACGTGCATTGCGTAACTCCTGGGGACACGCGGACGTGTGGGCTTCGAGAGTAGGGATGAACCGACCCAAGTAAATACAAGTAAATAATTAGTATTGATACTTTCGGTTGCGATGTATGCAGTAACTCCTCGATAAGTGTTCGAAGGCTCTTGACAAGGAGAGATCCCCAGGTGTAACGCTGACGTTTTTAACGAGGCTTAGCACTTGAAGTTTAACTATATATCTTCAAGTGTACTGTAAGATAAAAAACGTTGAAAAACACTGGTCTAGAACTTTCTACAAAAAAAATTGAAAAAAAAACCATAGAATGATGTACGACCTGACTCAGTGTTGTTGGTAGTCGTTTTCGTTTATTTAATTATTCATTATTATTTATTAACAGGAACATCATCGAATCTTTGTTCGTTACATCGTCATCATCTCGTAGCTTTCTACATTTACATTTTGTGTGTGCTGTGTGTGTGTGTGTGTGTGTGTGTGCGTGTGCGTGTGCGTGCGCGCGCGCGCGCGCGCGCGTATGCATGTGATCGTCACTTATCGAAGTACATATATTTTATCACCACCGGCGTTAATTGATCATCAACGAGACAAGAATCGTCGTAGCGTTACTACACACGCGCGCACATGCACACACACGGACATATACACGCGAGAATATATATACATATGTATATATATATATATCGGTGTCAATCATGAAATATCATCATCAGCGCAACTTTCGTTCATCATCCAATACGTTTGTTCAGCATCATCATAATCATCATCATCATCATCCATATAAATAAATAATTATTATCAACCGTGCGATAACAACACATAATCGTCATTTGCTCGCGTTTTCGCGGTCGAAGCGGGCGAGAACATACATATACATATATTTTTCTTCAAAATTTCACGATTTCGTTTCCCTCAAATCGATATTCGTGTACAGACGAAACAGGCGGGTATTTGTGTGTGAGATTCAATGATATTCGCAAAATTTCCCGTGATCGATCGAAGGTGTGTGTGTGTGTGTGTGTGTGTGTGTGCGAGCGCACGCGCGCGCGCGCGTGCATTTTGAAGAGATATGAAAATTTCTGTCCGATTAGATTTTGTGTGCGGAGGGAGAGAGATGCGTGTGTATACACTACCCGAGCAAAAATTAAGTGTGCAACACTTTTAAATCGAACCGAAAAAGATAAAGAAAGAAAAGAAAAAAAGAAACCAATCGGTCGATCGAATATCCGGTCGCGTTCAAATTCGATGATTGGTGCGATGTACACATAACAAATAAAAACACGGCGCGCAGTTTTCTCGCAGACTTCGACGTCGAAAACATGGAATAAACCCGTCCTCTACCGTCGTCGAAACACACGCCGCCTCTGACGACGCCCCGCGGTTTCTCCTCATTTACATATATTTTTTTGTCTATCTATATATTTATATATTCATTTATTTATTTATATCTGTTTATACATATCGCGAGTCACTCGAATGACGGGGGGTGAGGGGGTTTACAATAGAGAGAGAGAGAGAGAGAGAGAGAGAGAGAGAGAGAGAGAGAGAGAATAAATTTCAATAAGTAAAGATGTCGGTCACGACAAAGAGAAAGGCCCACCGATTATATGTATGTTTTTTCCCTAGACAGACACTAGACCCACCTCCTAGGGGCGAAGCTGACTGTGAAGTTCATATCGCATCTCACTAATAAGGTGGCTAGAAAAATTGTTTACGTTTCTTTTTTTTTTTACAAAATTCACCCGGACCTTTTCTTTCACCCCGCCACACGATTCTTTTTACAATTCAAAGACAAACGGAAAAAAGGGTGTAAATAAACGACGATCGAATGTTCCCTATGGCGGATCTCTCGTGGAATTACGCGTTCGAATTTTCAATTCTTGATGTTACTGTTCTCCTCGTGGGAGTGTGCGGGTGTGTTGTCGACGATGTAATTAAGGTGATCGAAGGTGAGACTTCCGGATCGCGTGGTCCACACACACGCACACACACCGTTTAAAGGAACGAAAATTCGAAATCCCTCGATTTTTCGTTCTTTTAAGAGACACGTTCATGTGGATGGTTCGAGAACGCGATGGTGTGGTAAATATGGTGAGTAAAAATTTCCAAGGTGGTGGCCGAACCCGGCAGAACGGGGTTGCCATGAGAATGGAGAATCCCGTGATGCCGGGTGGAGCGAATACCTAAATGATATCACCCGAAACCCTGTATCAGAAAAATTCTTACTTTGTATGCTTTGAACCTATTTATATCGATGTTTTTGCATTTCAAGTAACACCGTGTTCAAACGTGACCCAATTTCCAGATTCTAATTCAAATGAACTATGTGTAACAAGCCTCGAAATGAATGCTAGAATAAAATCATTTCCCCCTAGTGGTTCGTAACTTTAGACAAAGGAACCCCAAAAGTTACTCGATCCAGAGGGGAGGACTGAAGTTATCGAAGACTGTCGTCCAATTACCAACAGCGACCCAGAAGTCATTTCCCGTGTTTCATCGCGCGACAACACGTCCCCAGTCAAGAGTTGGGTGGATGGAGCTCGAAGAGAAACGATATTTCACGATTATCGAAACGACAAACAGCGTAATCCAAACGGCCAAGAAATCCATAGAAGAAGGGGAGGGGTGGGGCGCGATCGTACGAAGAGGGGCTGACATCGTTTGAATCCTAATTTCGTCGTAAACTTTCTCGCTCGTAACTATATATGTATATATACGCACGGTACATACAAACGCTCTCCTCCACTCATTACTCTTTCTCTCTCTCTCTCTCTCTCTTCCTCTCTCTGTAGCGCAAACGGAGATACGAATACATGTATAATACATAGAATATATACAAACGTGAAGGGGGGGGGGGGGTACGACTACAAGCACTCTCGTTGCATGCACGTTATTCTATCGTTCGTGGAACAACACACACGCACGCGCAGCAATCTCGCTCACGTAAGTAACCTCGAACCGCGAGTTTCTGTCTCGTAGTTCCACGCGAGATGGGGTGGTTCAGTTACACGCTATTCGAAAAAAAAAGAAATGAAAACGAAGAAATGTGTGTATGCGTGAAAGAGAGAGAGAAATGAGACGACGAGTCGTAAGAACGGACAAAATACAGTGAATCATGTATTAGTGTTCGAAGGCTCCTCGGCACTGACAAGCAAAGTTCACCCGACGTAACGTCAAAGTTTTTCGATAGTGCTTGGAGTTCTGAAGCCAGTGATATTTGTTTCAGTCGTATACGTCCGTTAGTTTACGAAATATTTAATCTTCAGTGCCGAGGGGAGTTTTTGAATACTCCGCGAGGATTCATTGTATCGGGAACACTGATACACTTGGGGCAGGGGGGCGGGGGCACGGAGGGTGAAGGGTACGATAGGATAATATTAATAATAATTAGAATAATAATAATAGCGAAATAGTAATAATAGTAAATAACAATAATAATAAATTAGTTCTGTACAAAGTTTCGCAATCGAGGCATAATAGATATTAATACCTAAGAAACGGGCACACGGACGACGGTATACGCGGGCCGCGTCGTCCGTCACCCCACAGCATCTCTTCTTCTCTCGTATACATATATATATATACTATATGTATATGTATATATATTTCTTCTTGCCCCTTCCGTCGAACGTTCCTCTCGCTTAAAAAATGAAAAACAAAGAGAGACGAAGAAGAAAATAAAGAGAAATAATACAAAAAAATATTGTCTTTCCACAATCAGGACAAAGATTCCTCCCTCGTCCACGAGGATCGGGCGGTTTTACGTGGTCATAGCGCGTCACACATTTTCTCATTCCTACCACCCCTCTCCTCCTGTTGTGGTGGTCTGGAGCTTTTCGGTCACGTTTACGCGAAAGACGTTTTTCCGAAGAGCCAAGGTGATTTATAACACCTAATCACAATTTGTGTGCGTGGCCCATATACAACAGGGACAGATGGGGGTGGGGGTGGTGGTGGTGGTGGTCGCGCGCAAACGCCACGGAATGAAAGATACACGATTCTTTCGAGGAGTTAAATCTCACAGCTTTGTCACAGAGGTCTTCAAGGAGGAACGAAGGGGAACCGATTTGAAACGAGAGTCCATATTACTGGCTCGCAAAACGAACACGGACGGGGGTGAGGGGGTTGATCGAATGAAAAAAAAATAGAACTAAACTACACTTCCGTCGCGAGCGTCGCCGCGAGCGACGAGTCGTGCCTATAGTGATCGTCTATTACGTACACCCCACAGCCGGTGTCTGAGGCGCCGCCCCCCGGTGGACCGGTTCCACCTTCCGTGATCGTGGTCGGCGGCCTCTTCAGCAACGCCGCCTCCGCCGCGCAACAGCTGTCCGTGTTCCCCGCGAACACCGACGACCTCTTCGCGGTCTCGATCACGCTTCCGATCCCGAGACCCAGGCCCAGGCCGAGACAGTCTTTCTCTTTCTGGAACAGATGCGAGGCCCTGTGGGCCGCCGCCTCTGTGTTCAGCTGTTTGGTCGTCCGCGTCGCACGGCCGTCCTGTAGTATCGGTTCCGGCTTGTAACCGGAGCACGAGCTGTCCAGCGTGACGTCCGTTTGAAACGACGAGTCGAGATCGTCCTGTCTGACGGACGCGGCGGCGTTGTTCACGCTCTTGTTCGCGGTCCACGTGTTCTTGATCATGTGAGCATCACCTGTGCCCAGTGTGCAGACACTACCGCCGACACCGCCACCGCTGATCATACCGCTACCACCGCCACCTAGGAGTCCGACGTTGCCTATTCCAACGGTGCTACCCACGGTGGAGCCAACTGGACCCATACCGCCCATTACACCGCCACCGCTCCTCTTGCTCATGCTGCTGTGGACCGCGTTCCTCTCGTTCTGTAGCCTAGCTTCTTCGTCAGCTTTCGCCTGTTCCCTCTTCTGACGACGCTTCATGCACATCACCGCGACAGCAGCGACCAAGACGAACGCTGGTACCGCTGTGGATAGAGTAGCTATCACCACCACGTGTTCAGTGGTCAGACCTGCGTCTCTAGGCTCGGCCGATGCCACGTGCCTGGATAGATTGCCTGACCAGTAACTGGCTCCCGATGGTGGTACCGCTGGGACGGTGTTCGACGGGGATGCAGCAGCAGCAGCAGCTGCTGCTGCTGCTGCTGCTGCTGCTGCTGCTGGTAGAATCGCTGTTCCGCTGCCCACTTCTTCGGCACAAGTGTCTCCGTGCCAGCCGTTCGGGCATTCGCAGATGAAACCGTTCACACGGTTCCGACAGATACCTCCGTTCTTGCACGGGCCGCTACGGCACTCGTCCACGTCCACGCTGCAATCCTTGCCGGTGAAGCCGGGCTTGCAGTCGCAACGGTAGTCGTTGGTCCCTGATATACATCTACCACCGTTCGCGCATGGTTTCGCCAGGCAATAGTCTACCTTGTCCTGGCAGAGTCTACCGACGTAACCGGGCACGCACTGACAACGGAACTGATTCACCAGATCCACGCAGGTCGCACCGTTCAGACATGGATCGCCTTGGCAGTCGTCGATGTTCGTCTCGCAACGTTCGCCGGTGAAGCCTGTCGGGCAGGAGCAACGAAAACCGTTCACGATGTCGGTGCAGGTGCCCGAGTTCGCGCACGGATTCGGCGAGCACTCGTTCAGTTGGGACTCGCAATCGTTGCCGGTGTAACCGGCCGGGCAACGGCACACGTAGCCACGCAGAGAGTCGTCCTCGCAGGTGGCGCCGTGATGGCAAGGCGAATCACGACAGGATCTCGTGCTGATCTCACAGTGACGACCCCGCCAACCGGGTGGGCAGGTGCACTTGTAACCGGCCCGATGATGTTGCTGTTGCTGCCTGGATGACGAGGATGACGATGAACCGTCCACGTTGGTTTTCGAGGCGGCAAGACCGCCGGCCAGGCTAGAATTCCCGTAGGATGCCTCCATGGTGCAAGAGCCGCCGTTCAGACACGGTTTCGAGTGACAGTCCAAAAGCGGTTTCTCGCAGTCCGTGCCGGTGAAGCCGGGCGCGCACGAGCAGGTGTACAAACCCTGGCCGGTGTTGAAGCAGGTGCCGCCGTTCATGCACGGCTTGTGATTCGTGCAGTAGTTGAGATCTTGGTTGCAGAACAGACCGCCCCAGCCCTCGTCGCACAGGCACTCCCAGGGCTTTTGGCAGCTACCGTGAAGACAACCCGGGTATCGGACACACTGGTCGCAGTACGCTCCCATCCAGCCGTTGTGACATCTGGAACAACGAAGGAGATGCTCTTGTTACCGAGCGGTTCTGCTGTCGTACAGTACGATGGAGAAAGTGAAGAGGCAAGACATGCTGGTGTGTGTATGTATATGTGTGTGAGCTGAACTTCCTGAACACTTCCATTTCTCCAGCTGGATGGAACTATATGCTTGGTCCCTCACTGGTTACACTACGAACTCCGTTGTCCAGGGGTTCAAGATTCCACTAATAGGTTGGTGATATAATCAGAGGGACGATGCGGTGTTCGGAGGATAAACGGAGTTCCAAGGTATCGAGTAAATCCCGGCGATTCCCCGCGTGACGTTCCCTCTGGTAGCCACGACGACGAGCGTCAAGGACCTCGTTAAAACGCGCGTATGGAAAGTTGACGGAGGATAGAGGGCGCAATAAAGCGGTTGATGGGCAAGGAAGGAATTCCCCTGTTTCCAATAAGTCTCCTATACCGGGTGGTACAACACGGAAACGATCCCCTCTATTTTGCGCGTAAAACATGAAACTACTGCCCCACCCCCCTTTCCGATTGATCCCAGGCTGGGAAGATAATTCGGGAACAGAAAGACGAAAAACGAAAAAAGGAGAATCGCCAGACGAGACACGGCAGACGATCCTAATCAATCTCCGCGGGGCTAATCCCGAGAAATCAAGCATCTCCGTAAAATCCAAACGAATGAGTATCTTCCGAAAGAATGTCCAAGGAGGGAGATGGAGGGGAGAATGAAAGAAAAAGAAAAGGCCCAGTGCGACAGAAGGATACGCAAAGGTGGATAAAGGCAGCGCGCGAGTTGCGGAGATGAACAAGAAGGTAGAAAGGATTCAGGAGAAGCTGGGGAGAGGGGTTAAGGAGGATATGGTGGTCGGCCATTTACGTGTGCAAGGGGGTTACACCGGCGGCGCAGGAAGGACAAAGAGGTCCCGAGAAAAGATAGACCAGGAGAAAGGATCAGGAGGAGGACAGAGGGAACCGAAGAATGAGGTATGTATGTATATATATGTATATATATTTACACACACACACACACACACACACACACCACACACCACATACATCATATATAT